CCGTTGTATTTATGTTTAAATCCGAGACCGAACTTACTATGGTACCGTATGACTAATTTTCGCTCGTTGTTATGTAATATTACTTAATTCTCCCCTCGTTGCTAAAGGTCCCGCAGAAAAGCCAAAGATCAACAAATTGACTAACTTTGGATTTTCCATTCAATTGGTAAATAAGATCAATTCAAAAAAAAAGAAAAATATATATTAGTTTCATATTATTTGATTGTTATATTTTCTGAAAATAAACTCAGATTAATAAAGTTTCTTCTCACCTTAGCGAACCCTCCATAGTTCATACATCAGTATTTATTATCCATGTTTATGGAGATAGGTAATAAATATATCGGCAGTTTGTCATTAAAATTTTCGAACTAAATATGCTCACAGAAAAGATAAGACATTCGATGAAAATATTTTATTTAACTCGTATCTCCTTTAATTTTCTTATGAATGGTATTTCATACTGCCCCACAAACAAAACAATAATAAAACAGAACATCGCATCTCATTTAATATTGAGAATTCAGCCAAATTACGCAGAAGTGGAATAATTCGATGCCATTTCACTTGTAAAAACTTCATCTAGACGCGAACCTATCCTACCTACTACCATTTTCTATCTTTTTTTTTTTTTTTTTTATTTTTTTTTTTTTTTCATATTTAATAAAAAGTTAATACGTTGCCACAAAAGACATAGAATGATACTTTGCGCATTTAAATATTTTTATTTAATAAGGAAATAGGTGCATTGTAATTTTTTGAAACAATAAATGTAAATCTCAATAAATAATTTTCAACAAAAAAACTAATTGGATTTTTTTCGGATAAAAACAATTATAGATTTTTTTTCAATTTGATTATTGATCGCATGAATAGATTGCCCGCATATATCGAAAAGTTGAAACGTCACGATTGAAACCGGTCGTGCTAAGCCTGAAGTAAAACAATAGGGTTTTTTACTAATTTAGTATTTGCTAAGGGAGAGGAGGTCACGCAAGACGGGTGTTTCTCAGTTTTTGCAAGTATAATAATACGAATCTGCACTACCCTATTTAGGGGACTGTCAGCATTATCATACACGGCTTGGAGGCCGCACACCCCGCATATTACTGTTCGTTCACCTTACAATGAAACAAAAGCTAAGGAATAAAAACTCACCTTTCGCAGGATTAGTCATTCGTGTAGTTATTAACCTATTAAATATATTAAAGGGATGGTTAACTTTTTTGTCAAGCAAGTATAAAATAGGCAACGACAGCCTCAATCCGAATACTAAACGAGCAATATCATCAGCAATTCAGGACGCAAATCCCAGGCCCTCAATCAGTCGCTGAGTCATAGGAGTAAAAACTTTACACATACCATTCTAAGTCATAATCATAGTTACTCACTCCTTTTGTTATATTAATCAACATCCAACGAACGACACAACGTCTAAAATAGGTATCCGCCATTAAGACACTCCCATTTAAGTACCTAAATAACCAGCGTAGCCAGTGCTGTCTTTTTATGATAAAATGACTCAGCTTTGGATACCAACTTTTTTATATATATAATATTTGTCAGTTATTAACGATAGAATATAAATGTCAACTGGTTTAATAACTCACTTCGTTCTTCTAAAAAATATTTTATCTTCTTTATCTTCCTGCATATCTTAATATTCCACAGAGGTAAATAACAAAGATACTTTTTTTATGTTCTTGCGGGTTTGTGTGGGTTGTAAAAAAGCTAAGCTAGCTAAGCTAAGCTTATTTTTTTAAAAAATGTATTTATATGTAATTTTTACGCGACCTGATGACGTGTTGAACGTGTCAGCCACGTCATCAGCCATGTTTCGCGTTTATCAATTTGTGTTACAAATATCAAAATATTATCAAAAAACTATATTCGAATATTTAGTCAGTTCTGTCTATTATTCAAAATATTTATTGTAATTTAACTTTAATACGTGTATATGTTGTTGTATTTTAATAACTAATTCTAATAGCAATATTGATAAGTTGCAAACATGTTCTGGTTGTTATAAAAGTTTACCTATTGAGCTTTATCTTCATGATAAGACTGGTAAGCAACTTTGCACTTGCGTCTATTTTCGTACAAAACAATCAAAAAAATCTAACGGCTGCAAGAGACCGAATATAATAGTCATTTGAATAATACTGAACCTGTAAGGGGAGTGACACATATCACGTCATTATAAGGGGGGTGTTAAATATCTCATCTCTCACATGATTGTAAGTCTAACCAATCAGAATAAAGAAGTAATCTTATTGTGGCTTAAAATTTTTACCAAAAATTTGTCAAAAAAAAAAATTTGATTTATTATCATCTTAAAATCTGCAATATTCTTTTTATTTCCTGCTGGCATAAAAGTAGAACCATCTCATAATTAACTTACTCACCTTACTTTCTGAATATATTTTCTGATCATTCAAGTTTTGAAATTATACATTCAGCATAGAAAAATCATTAATGAAATTGGTAAGTAACATTTTTTGCTTAACTGGTCATCCTCATTTTCTTGGATATTGGTTTTTTTTATATAGAGTAACAAGGAAAAGAGTTGGAAAGTATATTTTACAATCAGAATAACAGAGATGATTATAGATATTTGAACTAATAAAAGGATAGTAGGCATCATATTCAGGTATTTTAAACTTATCACAATATTCTAATATATGAAGTAAATTCAAAAAATAACCATTTTTTCATTTTGTTATAGGTGAGAAAAATCTATTATTTTTTGCAAAGAGAATTGCTACCTCTTCATAATATTTAAGCAAGTAACAAAAAGAATTTTCACATTTCTTAATATCAAGTGAGTATTAACATATTCTAATATGATTTTTTTAGGCATTTCTAGAATACTGCTAATTTGTTAATCTTTTTTTTTATCCTAGAAATATAATATCATCAAATACAAAAGTTTTTTAGTCAATAAATTGCGTAATGACTAGTTTTTTATAGATAAGGTCACATTTTTAAAGAATAAAAGTCTCACTAGTATAATAAAAGTCTTTTATTGCAAGCTTCAAATTGACTACCTGGTCTTAAGATTAAGGTAAAAACTGTATTTGTTAATTGGTAATATTATATCAGCTACAGTAGCGATCATAAGTATCCGACCGCCTCTAACTCTGGCTACAAGTAAGTAAATTCAAAATTTTTTTTTTTATTTAAAAAATACA